TCTCTCTCTCTCTCTCTCTCTCTCTCTCTCTCTCTCTCTCTCTCTCTCTCTCTCTCTCTCTCTCTCTCTTACTGCTTGTGATATGAAGTTTTACTACCAGGTTGTGGAACGGACTCTCCGAAGATGTCGTGGTGGTCTACGCTTCTCTTCAACTGGAATCAGATTCTCCATTAGCTGCGTTTACATTTTTAAAAAAAATATATTAGAGAATAGCTGGCAGATAAAAATGAAGCCTGCTAGTCAAAAGGAAGGAGATCTGGATCACACTCAAAGAGTCTGAGCTGAGCAAATAGGGAGCAGTTTTGGCAAGGTTAATTTGTTTGAAACGAATGAATCTAGCAAGATTTTCTAAAAGAGAACATGTTTGGTATCATCCAGTTTAACCAAATAACCAAATTAAACTTATCAGCAGAACACTTAAGATTAGAAGCATTCATACTGTTTTACTTATTTAGCTTACATTGTTATTACCAAAGGTTTTTCCTTTAAAAAAATTACTCAGTACTAGATACAACTGCTTAAGCCAAGTGACATTTACCAAACACCCCTTTACTTGGCTTATTCTACTGTAAAGTAAACTGATTATGGCAAGCAAACAGAGCCTAGGCCTCACACAAACAATTATGGGTTTTCCGTTTATTGAAAACTAATACATGACTCAAATAAGACAACCTAATATTCGCAGTCTTACTCCTGTAATAAACACAGAGGTTTCCATTAGACCTTTGATGCATTTACTACCAAAAACATCATAAAATTAAGAAGGAAGGGATCCAAAGTTTCTTGACCATTTTGATTTATTCCATTATTTGTCAAAGCTAGCACATTGTCAATAAAGATTCTTTTAGCTCCATTGGCAATGACTCTAATACATGATCCAAATTATGGGATCACGAACTAAAGAAAAACGAGTCGAAGTTAGTTGCTGGAAGGTTATAACCAGCTAAAAGATGGCCCTTATTTGGCATTGTGATTGGGAACGGCTTAGTGAATACCCAAACCTCCCACTGTTATTTTGTATGTCTGGCAATCCAGCTTCTGATTATTTGATGATCATTGTTTCTACAATCGCCAATTTGAACAAGCATCAAGTTGATACTTATTGACTATTGTTTCCTGCTTACTGCTTAGTATAATTTTAGTTGCATATTGAATATTGAATAATTAAGGCCAAGTAAGCTCAACCCTTCTGCCCAACAGGCTTATAGCATGTAGGCTCTATCACAGCATCTAACAGTCCATTAACGCATGCTTATTGACAACTTTTTCAGACCACAAACCAGAATTCGGTCACTGACTTGAAAATTGTACGTAGTATATATTTCTAAAACAAAAAAAAGAAGATATGCTTTTTTTTTCTTTTTCCAAATTTAGAAAACATAATACATGCTTACTTCACAAGTTTACCAGCATTATTGTATTCCATATATCTAGGAAATACATCTAATTTTCATAATACGAAACAGTTCTCCAAAGTTAAAACCAATATTCGATGACAATGACAACTGCAACAACCAACGTACTTCAAGGATGGCAACGTGTTAGAGATCCGAAGCAATATCTGGAGACCCCTCTCTTGCTCGTGGCTAGAAGAGGATGATTCGGATCCTATAGTCTGTGCCTAAGTATGAAAAAATGTGTGATTGCTCCAATGATGATCTTATTAACGAATGTAACCCCTCTATTTATACTACTCGCAAGAGTCTCCGTGAACAAGTAAATAGATTTCTAACCTGATACAATGATGCTATCAAAATTACTAACTAAAATAGAATGCTAATAGGAAACTATTACAACATGTCTACATGACTACCTCCCATTATGTTTGTTCTTTTTTACCATTTTTGTATATACCACAAATTTGTCACATACCATATCTAGTCATATATGTGTAGTTCACATTCACTCTTACTTTTTTAACATCAATATGAACCATACAATCTTACTTTTCTGAATTCTTGTGTCACTCCCTCGCAGGAGATTTGTGTGGGATGTGGAATGAGCTCCTTGGCAAATATGTCCTCCTTTCCCATTTATTTGTAACCTGATGAATTTGCCATGTTCTTTTTTCGCTCATGATATCTATGCACATTAAATTATTTTGTCCTTATAGTAAACAATCTACCATTTCCTCTGGAGTATAACAAATGTTATGGTGTCATTCAATAAGTGAATTTCAGGTAAAGTATTAAAAGGTTTGGTTACGATACAATTGCTTAAAGTGTCATTTGATCAACCAAGACAGATAAATAGGACCAGAAGAAGTATCTCTAAGGCATGCTCCTTTATAATTAAAATATAGAGTTTTAAAATTGATTGCCCAGCTGGCCAGTTCTACTCTTATATATCAAGCAATCGACATATGAGGCCGATCTAGTCTTATTTTTTCCTTTTGCAATCATTTTACTCAAATGCATAAGAATATATAAATGGAAACAAAAAACAAGGCAAGCTCATCTTCAAACCAGCGCCTACTTTTTTTTGTTGAGAAGAAAGATAAAAGAACAAATAGAAGCAAAAAAGAGTGGATTTTGTGCATTGTTGTTATGACAAATATAAAAGAGAAAAAGAAGCAAAATACCTTTAAATTTAAAAACGACACACAAGAAGAGTCATGCTACAAAAGGGAACAAAAAATGGGCCATTTTTGGCTTACTTTATTCGCAGTACCATAGGAGAGAAAATAAATACAATGGTTCCACATTTTTCTTCTCTCTATCTCTCCACTTTCCCTCCTAACCAAACAACCAAAATATGTTCCCTCACTCTCTTTTTCTCTTCCATACTTCTATGTTCTCTATTTATCTTGCCCAAAAAAAAACTCTAGACCAAGGAGGCAAAGACCAATCTGCCTAACTCATGCCCCTAGGCCAGTTACCTATGATATCAACGGAGAGTCTGAGAGTACATTCCTTAAACGTAAGACAGAGACCACTGAGTTGAGCAATTTGACATGCACAAAATTTCAATTTGCATAAACAGCCATTATAAAAGTTAAGAGGCAATAAGAGATTGCAGAACATGAATACAACTGAAAAAGTCACAAGATATAATTAGTTGAAAATAATAATTCAAAGTTAGTGTGTGCTTATGATAGGACTTAATGACAAAAATAGAATAAGTACGGAGTACATAATAAAGGGAATACATAACCTCATAGAACCTATTTTCAAAATTGCAATTCAGTTTAGTCTTTTATATTCATTTAAAAGAATCTGTGTCTCCAATATGGCAACAGGTACAACAAGCAATAGAAGTATCCATGTATAATAATGTAGAGGCATATTGTACCTGCATAACTCTCTTTTTCTTCCGCTCTGCCTGTATTGGAAAAAAAAATCCTTAGTGAAAATCAGAAGTCAGAACTCAAATATTCTTCTGCTCTTTTTCTTTTGCTCCTTCCATCTTCTCTGATAGAGCCAAATATTCACTATTATTTGGCTTTGGAGTAAGATGAAATAAAGCAAAATGGCTCTTTAACTATCTGTTCTTTTAAAAGTGGAGTAATTTGACACTCATCAATGCAACTTTCGACCTCATCATGCGACCCAGAATATAAGGGTCCCCTATGTTTTAACATAAGGGTTGCATACATCCGACCCACCTTACCCCGCAATGGAGGGAGCCTTTGAGGCACTGCGGTAATGTTGTTGTTGTTGTTGTGAACATCAGAACTCAACATTAAGAAAAAACATGAACTGAGTATATACAATGACATAAACATCTGACTTTCTAAGACATGTGGTAACACTTCCCCTAAAACACTATTCAACTGTTAAAAAAAACTAGGTTGATGTGTTTCCCAGGATACATGAGATTTGGGGATATATTGAGCACACCAATTTACACACCAATGAGCTTTTACAAAGCAAAATGTCAATAAAAAGAGAAGAAATGTGAACTTTGTTATCTACAAAGGAGAACAAAGGGCACAAGAACAATAACACAAAGGATAAACATAGGAAACTTTACAGAGTTGGGAAACCATGGATCTTTTCAAACATGTGGGAGACTCACTATTATATGGAGATAAATCTCCGTTCATTAACCATACTAAATATGATAGTTAATGTACTGAATGACCCAATAAATTGAAGAATACAAATTTCAATTGGAGCTCATAACTCCTCAACAACAACAACAACAACAAACCAGTACAATCCCAAAAAAGTAAGGTCTGAGAGGGTGTGTGTACATAGACCTTGCCCTACTTGAGAGCACGAAGACTATTTTCAAGAGACCCTCGGCTCCATCACAAACAATGTAAACCAGCACAAAATCCATATAGCACGAACAGAAAGTAGCAAAGTGCAAAGGGACAAAGGGCACACAAACCACAAATCACCTTTAGCAGCTAGAACCCAAGCATAAAAAACACAAAGACGAGCAAAAGCTACCACCAAAGCCTAAACGACTACCCAACTACTCTTGTCCTAGTTCTCCAGATGCTCATATCGTCATATCTAAAGTCATACCCTAGGTAAAGGCCAGGAGTCTCAAGTCATGCCTAATTACCACCTTCCAATTTTTCCAAGGTCTACCTCTTCCTCCATCACCGCCAACTACCATAAGCCTCTCGCATCACTGCACTAGGGCCTCTGCACTACGCCGCTCCAAGTGGTTTCAACGGCCATATGCACATTTAACTAAAACCAATTTAGCAACCAAAGAAAGCAAGCAATAAATTGGTAAGGAGCACAACTTTGCCGTTGTGACAAAAGTCACAAAACTGAAACGTTTGAATCTACTCTCTTTTTTTTGACAAATCTGAAAAGGTTTCCCACAAAACTTGGTACAATGGAAAGGTCTAACAAAATCAAACATCGTCTGGTCCGTTAGACTTTGTTGATTGTTGAGCAGAGCTAGCAAACTTCTAGTTTACCAACCTTTATGTAAAATTCGTTTAATTTTTTACTCCATTGAGCATCTTTTTAAGCAATGTTTCGATTTGCATTGCAATATAGCACCTTAAGGCAAGGAAATAATGAGACTTGAGGCTTATGCCGTTTGAGGTTGAGGCTTTCTTATCAACTCCTACACCTTAATATATTGGAAGGTTCGTGGTTAAATTTTTGTGATTGACCTAGGCTATGGGCCCATTTTTTAATTAAATGCTAAACGTGACAAATTCTTCTTGTTCTACTTGAATTGCTTGGGACAAGAAAAAATTGTCACATGTAGCATTTATACTGCAATATACGAAGTACAGAGTATAATTTTTGCCAAGGTTCACCAATGTCAACAGTAAGTAGGACAGCCCCAAGGTTCACCAATGTCATCAAAAATTGTCAAGGTTCACCAATGTCAACAAAAATTGTCACATGTAGCATTTATACGGCAATGTTTGTTGTTGGTTTTATGACCTTGTTGACGTTGTTGTGTTCTTGGATATGAATATAATCTTATTTTACATTATATTATTCTAATGGTTTTTATATTATTTGTAATTATCTTAAATGAATCAGATTTTCAAAACTAAGGCTTACACTTTATTGTGCAATGAGGCTAAGTGGCTAACGCAATGACACCAAACAGCCTCAATTAAGCAATACACTAACATTGTGTTAGAAACACTCTAAGGATTTTGCTTGCGAAAAGAGTACAAAATTCCTTTAATTTTCCTTATGCATATTATCTGGTAGAGAACTATGCTTTCACACCTGCCGTCACCTGGTAGAATACAAAATTCACTATACGACCATTTTATACAAGTAAACATTTATGTGAATCCTCTGAAAACCGACTTGAATTCTTATTGGAATTGGACCTCATTTGAATAATTTACTTTAAATTATGTCATTCGAAATGCCCAATTTCCAAGTAGTAAGAAGACCTTGTATTTTTGTTCAAAGAAAAAAGTACTCCGTAGTAAGAAAATCAACATTCAAAGAAGTGGATGTCAAACAATGACACTACAAATCAATGAAATAGACTAGGAAACCCAATGTAAAAGATATGAGAGGTGGGGAGAACAAAGTATTACATGTAAAACTAATGGTTGGAAAGACTTGGGAAAATGTCGTGGGGATGCCAGAATCACACTTGAATATTAAGAGTGGGTGGCAGTGTAGCACTAGCGATGCACCCTCACCTAAATCTCACCTAAAGGGAACGTTTTAAATATCCATAGCATTTCCTGAACTTGTCCACTCGTCTCAAAACGTTTCATGGTCATAGCCAAATACAAATTTTACCATAGTAGCACAACAGGCAAGCATATTGCACACCGAAGTATGAGAACTGAAGTGACTTAGAAAAATGCGGGAAAAAAAGTACCACTTCTATCAAAAGTCTTGCATTATCCTCCTCCAATTGTGCGACCAGAGCCTCTAATTCCACAGTGTAAGCCTGCAATTTGAATTGACGGGAAAACGCACTAGTCAAAATCCTTCCAGAACAAAAAAAAATGATCCTTCACTACATTGAAGTGGTTCAAGAGGACTTAAACTCAATAGCATTTGAGGTTCAACCTGTTTTCTTTCCCTAGACCTAGCTGCAGACTCTCTATTCTTGATCATTCTCCTCTGCTTCTGTTGAGTGGCCTTATCGAGAGGAATCTCCTCCGCCATTGCCCTCCTCTTCCCTCTGGCTCCTCCGTTCCCTCCCATAGCCACCACGCCATTCCCAAACCCCAAATGAGGCGACTCCAACCCAAACCCACCAGGTCCATTCTGCATGACCACGGGAAACTGACAATTCTCCACATTCACCAGCGAATCCACTTTAAATCCACCACTAACATCTGCAGCAGGGGCAGGCGGCGGAGGAATCTGCGAAACCCTAACATCCTCCTCCCTAACCGCGCCTGCCTTTGTTAAGAAATCCTCCAGCGTCATCTCCGGGTCCCCACTCCCCGCTCCCCCGCCTCCGTTCACAATCTCCCTCCAAACATCATCCACCAACTTGCTCCCGCCGGAGGAGGAGCAGCAACTACCGGCGAGCGCATTGCAATCCGCATAAATGCTCTTGATGATCTCGTCCATGTTCAAGGACCCGAATCCGCGACTGTGATCGGAGTGAAGCCGATCGGCAAATGAATGCACAGGAGGAGAAGAAGAAGACGGGCGTGTACGATCCGGATTGGACGGCGCTGCTGACGTGGACGCCATCCCCTTCGGCGACGCCTTATCCGGAGCTCTTCCCGGGTCCCTTCGGACTTTTCCTTCAAAAGTTTCTCCCTTTACTTCAGCGGCCTGGTCTTCAGATAAAGAGAAAAGAAAATGATCGGTGGATGCATGCAGCATACAATGCTGTTGTCAGATTGAAAGTTTGAATAACTGTACAAAGTGTGCAACACACCCCAAATGTACACCAACTTCCCTCTCTACCATTCATTTTATTTTATTTTTAGTTTTTATTTTTTTTTGAATTTTTTTGCTTTTTTTGTGTGGTGATGGAGGGGGTGTGGGATGTTTGGGGTACACTTTTGGTGTACCCCTAGCATTTTCCTAAACACAAACCATAATCGTGTGTATTTAAATGAAATATCCCACAAGCCGCGGAGTAGTAAGCCTACCTACAAATTTCGTGGTAAAAATTACTCCTTTTGTCCAAAAATTATTTTTCTCCTTCACTATTTACATTATCAAATCTTTCGCGCAGGCAGACCGATCAGCGAAGGCTTCTCCGCTAAATCTTTCGGGTTCCACCTCATAATGCATCTTCGGTTGGAGTGCCACAATATACCCGGCCTCGGGGAAAGAGCTCTCCTGTAGCCAGGACTCGTCGAGCAAAAAGAATCCTTGCGGGACGGACAGAGTTAAAGTCTTTCATACTTTAGCTTGGGAAGAAAACAATTCAAATTTTAACGAAGGTGTACCATATTTGTCCCCCACTCCTCCATTACCACAAAAAATGGACAAGAATTTTAAAAATAAATAAATAAATAAAAAGTAGATAAAAATGGGTGGTGGAGAAGGGGGTGGGGGACTGGGGTCTCAAAAAATAAAGATTTGTATGAAAATTGTTATTCTTTGAGTATTTTGTTTTTTTCCTTCTTCTTCCCTCCTTCAATTTTTTTTATTTGCATTTTTTTAAGTTTTTAAATCTCACCGCCTTTCAGTATTAATTTGTTTTCTATTTTTTAGTTTTGATTTTAGATCCGTATATTTTAATTTTTTTTAATTCAGTTTTAAAAATCAAGCTCGAATGCGGCGGGATTGGTTGCTTGGATTCGTGTAAAGAGACGATATATAAACAGCCCCCCTGACTCGCCGGAATTTCCAACTGAAACCCCGCCAAAATTCAACAAACTTAGCTTACTGAAACATCAATCTCTCCTCCTCCTCCTCCAATGGCGTCTTCTACCACTGGATTTATCGCCGCCGTTCTGCTCATGGTCATCCTGAACCAATCCGACGCCGTCTCCGCCGTCCAGAGGCGAGAGATGGACTCGATGTTGACAGCTCTGAGAAGCAACGGCTACGGTCTCTTCAGCAACGCCATTGTCACCTCCGACCTCTCGTACGATCTCGTCGACGGCGGAGAAGCTGCGTTCACCGTCTTCGCCCCGACCGATTCATCTCTCTTTGCGCTGGACATGGTGAATTCGGCGTCCGATTACACAGCCACTCTCCGCTGCCACGTCGTCCCCCAGCGCCTCTCCGTCCGCGGCCTCAATAGGCTCCGTCCTGGTTCATCTCTCCGCACTCTCGCCGCCGATCATGATCTCCGCGTAGAGAGCCGTCGCTCTGCACCGTCTGGTGACGTCATATCCGTCGACGGCGTAGACGTCGTCGCGCCAGGACTGTTCTATGCCCGCAACATCGCGGTTCATGGCTTGAAAGGGATTCTCAACTGTAGATCTCGTCGAGCTCATGATGATGTACTGGTGCGGCAGCCGGCAACGCCTTCTAGGAGTGAACCGCCGGCGGTTACTCAAACGGAATCTCCTTCGGAATCCAATCTCACCATCGCCAAGTCCAATTCCCCTGTCTCACATCGCTTCAAAAAGGCGCCGCAGTCCACGAATTTTTCTGTTGATAATTCATCAATGGATGTCAATCCGAGTGGAGAAAGCTTCAATTTGACGCCATCTCCGTCTATTGATCTCTCCAATTTCATCGATCCGCCGAGCGCCGCCGCCCCTATTCACTATGATATGGCGGCCACTTTTCCTCCGGCGCTTCAGAAACACGCCAGTGATTCAATCGCCCCTTCATATTCGCCGCCAACAATGATGTATTTTCCTCCAGAGGTTCAACAGGCGTTCGGCGCATGGACGGACACATCAACCGCTCCATATTTCTCTCCGGTTACTGAATTCGAACCGCCGGTGCCGGAGTTCTCTGAAAACGACGATCCGACGCTTTTTCCACCATCTCCAGCTATCACGCTTCAGGTCAACAGTGGCCGCCGGAAGAAGGCCTTAACGTTTGAGAACGGTGAAGTCCTTCGTTACATGCCGTTGATTTCTCCAGATGACATCTCAGAAAGCGAGGGGAATGCGTGGGAAAGTTTCGGACCGTCGGATCACTCGGATGAGAATAATTCTGATTGTCCGGCTTCAGATGAACCGGCGCAGGCCAAATTCACCGGCGGCGAGCTCTACACACGTCAGAAATGTACCCCCATATAACCCACACTTTGCTAATCTTCTTCTTCTTTTCTTAATTCTTCCTCTTTTTTTCATGTAAGCTTTAAAAAAATTGCAGAAGCTTAAATCACATACACTTTGCAAAATATGATGATGTGAATGAGTTTTATAGCCTAATTAACACCTTAAAATTGTCCACTAAAATTTGATTACAATATTGGTGTGACATTTCTTTTATAATGCCTTGGTTTATAAGAATCTTTTTAGTTTGAGAGACATTTTTTCATTAGTGGCAGCAATCTAACCCATTATTTGAGAGTATAGTGGAAGCAATAAAAGAATATTTCGACATTTCACTCATTTCAAATTAATCTTCTCAAAGAGTAGAAAGTATTAACAAAGGTGTTATTGAACAAAACTATACATTTTACTGTGTCTCATTTACTCCCGCACACTATGTTTATTCTTTTACTCTCTTCTAGTCTCGGGTACAACCCCAATTTGGGAGAATTAGACCTAACGCTAACCTCTAACAATTCTGCCATAAAAAATTGAGTGATCGATCATGAAGGCAATTTTTTTACTTCCATCAGAAGCTGATTTGGCTAAGTTGAATGACTTGAATCTGAGTTTAAAATACACATAACAAGAAAAAAGTTGATTTCTATGAAAATAAAAGTATGTTCAAACTTCAAAGGGAAACCAAATGACTTGCATAAATACAAAAAACAAAAGGAACAAAAACTATGAAACTTCTCATCACCAGCGATACAAAACAAATAGCTTAAATAAGGCATACTATAAATAAAACAACATTAAACAAGCCGAGATTATAATAAATCCTTGAGCCAGAATTGCAAATACAAACTAGTGTTCGGGCGCACACACTACTGACCCTCAGTTTTGGCAGTTTCATCGTCACCAACTCTCTGGTTGTTGTCATCAACCTCTAGCACGCCGTCCATTATCATGTCATCCTCGGCAACATTGATGTCTTCAACATCATCGTCATAGTCATTGTTGTCGCTTCCCGGGATCTTTCTGGTTTTCGGTCCGTGCTCCAGCCTGTGGGTTTCTAACTCCTTGTCCATTGTTTCTTGGAGATCTGCGGTGTTGCTATTGCTGTTGTTGTTGTTGGCTCTCCTGTTTCCTCTTCGCCAATTCTGCCATCTCTCCGTCTCTTTCTCAACGTTGGACAGGTATTCTTCACTTACTTTTTTCTGGTATTGAGACAGCTCTTCTCTCGTGGCAGCTTTCCATTCTTGGAATATCTGGTGAAAAGAGGAGCAAATTATTCCAGTGAACATTTTTTTAGACTGAAAAGATAGCAAGAAGATGAATACCTCCTTAATAATTCCTTTTTTAGAATTATTAATCCATATTATTTACTTTCATACATTGGCTTGCCTCATAATTAGCCAAACAACATTTCATAATTGCTGCCTACCATCAACTGCCTAAAGTTACCTTGGTTCACTTCTTTCCAAACATACCCTAAAGGTTTAAGAGCTTTTTATCATGACTGATATCTCTTTTGCACCTCAAGTGCTTTCTAAAAAATGCCACAATCAATTGTTTTTTTAAATTTAGTTCAAAAAGTTCTTTCTGAACGACAAACGTGTGTAACACTTCCTCAATTCTCCTGCCAAAAGTTTGTTTTATGGGAAATTGACAGATTGCCTTCCTTTCTGAATCACCTATTCCTTAAAATATGTCTTCCCAACCAACAATAACATTTGCCCACTGCCTCAAAGGCTCCCACCCATTGTGGGGTAATGTGGTGGGGGGGTGTACGCAACATGACCCCCATGTTTAAAATATAGAACGGCTTTTTCCAAATGACTCATGATGAACATCAAAAATTGCATTGACTAACTACTGCTTCGCTATTAAAAGAAGCGCAGACAGTTTAAAGAGTCATTTTGCTTTATTCCATCATACCTCAAATCCAAAAAAAATAACGAATCTTTGGCTCTATCAGAGATAACATCCCAAACGCTTACTAAATTGAAAGCTACTTACTCTCACAACCAAAATAAACCAACTATGGCTACCACATTGAGAGAGGGAGAGAGGCTGACCTGCTCCTTTTTTTGCTCTGTTAGAATTGCATTATCATCCAATGGCTTGGCAAACATATAATATATTGGAGGCTGTGCTTCTGTTCTGAAAGAAAGAAAAAACAAAAGAAAGATAAAAAGTGATACAGTTGCAAGCCATTTGACAATAGGAATATTTATAAAAAATCTTCCAAAATTAATAAGAAGACAGCTACTTCATTCAACTTATGAGGTTTAAGGGAGGGTTTAAAAAATAATCCAAAAGCCATATGCACATAGCTGCCTGCTTTCGTCTTATGATGACGTGGTTTTAGAAAGTGTCATTTATGCCATTTTTCCATTACCAAACACCAATTTTGTAAAAGCTGCTTAAAATAAGCAATAAGTATGAATTTAATTTTTTGAAAGCCTCCAAAAGAAGTCCACTAATCACCACAAAATTCACGCAAAGCATGGCATTGTCAGCATTTTCAGCTGCATCAACATTTCTGCTATGAATGGAAACTTATCTTTGATCAATAAAATTGTGAATTAGTCACACTTTTGGACCAAAATTAGAAATAACCTGCAAAACAAAAGGAAGAGATGAACTATGTGTCATGAACAACGCGGCAGATTTGACATAAATAGAGGAGTGAACTTAAGATGACAGATTCTGGTAAAATGACCATGAAATATCTAAAAAAACAGAGGCTGATCAATAAATTTATGAAGAGATAAAGGTTCTTCCACTTAACCCCACAATGCAATAAAAATAAAGCTAGCTTTCAGATTGGTGTTAGAATATGGCCAATGCCTGGATTCTTGTCTTAAAATACAGAAAGTGGACACATGATTTGGTATTTTGCATCACAATGATAAAGTGAAGTGACAAAAAACATTTCAATTTGAGGTGCTAATTGTTAAGATACCTTATAAAATTGCCAAGTCTTTTCTTGTGCTCACTCCATTTAAGAAACAGCAACTCCATCCTCTTTTCCTCAGCTTTAGCAGCAATGCGTGCTCTAAGAATCTTAACAGACAAACAAGAAGAAACCAAATAAAACCTGTGAGCAACATCGCTCATCTGACGATCAACACAACTAGCGATAAATTATAACGCGAACAAATAAGAACTAACCAGATCCCTTTTCCGTTTTTCTACAATCTGTTCTCTCTCTTGCTGCCTTAATCTTTCACTTTCTTCTCGAGCTTTCTGCTCAGCCTGCATGCATAAATTTGAAGGTGCTAAAAAACATAGTATTCATCTGACAATAAACACAACTAGCAACCAATTTCGCATCATCATAAAGAACTTTAATGTGTAATGTGTACTGGGAAACAGAAACTCACCCTTTTCAAAGAATCTGACCTCCGCATATATGCTTCAGACCCAGAACGCTGCATGTCTTCTTTTCTGAATTTCTGAACAAATCCAATGCAATAAAGGTACCCAACAAAAAGAAATTAATTACTCTTCAAACATGTAGCATGGTGTAAAAAATACTACATAATAAAATTGACATCTAAACATGCCAAAATTCAAAATACAGTAATGTAAAGTTTAGGGTTGTAGTTTTAAACTGCAATTGCATCAACGAAATTTAAAGTTGGCAGCACAAACCTCTAATGTCCCCAGGAGCTGACCGAGCATTCTCTTATTTCTACTAACCAATTTAGGATCTTCATCTTTTGGCAACACTCTCGGAGCATGCTCTGGTGAAGGTATATCAGAGACCTAATTTCATCACAAAATAAGAGAGGAAATTAGTGTTCACTATTATAGCCTGTGACAAGAAAAAAAAGATAGACAGCTTGAAGGAAACCCAATCAAGTCAAAGAATCAAACATTACAAAAAGGTTACCCTCTTGAAAGGCCTAGCACTCTCATCCCTCCTATTCCAGCTTGTTGGCCTGCTCTCACCCTGTACTGCAGCTGCTTTTCCTGCATTTTCCACAAAAATAGATTCTTTCTTCTTTTCTTTAGGAGCATCATGATTAGAATCCACAATCTCCCCATCTTCAACCTTCAATCCAACCCCAACATGAAACAAAATCAGCATATCCAGCAAAACATAACAAATTTTAGTTCTAAATAAAGGGTCATAGGTTAAACTGTCCACCTTCACAACTGCAGATAGCAATCTCCTTTTTGGCATTGTCTGATCCTCAGCATCATTCCCTTCGGCCTGAAATCAAACGAACCAGTATTAAAAAACCCAACCAGATATCAGAATAAAACCTTTCTTCTACATGTATGTAGAAGAGGATTACCGGTCTGACAACACCGCGCTGGCGGCCGCCGTTGGCGGCGATATTCCGAGGACCAGAGCCAGTAAAGCCACCGCGCCGAATTCCTCTCGGATCGCGAAGCCGCTCCGTTATCTGATAGAAAAATAACATGTCAATACAGAGACATACATACAAAAAAGACGAAGATTTACAAGTACAATGAGAACTGTACCTCGCGACGCTGACGATTGAGTTCATCGATTTCCTTCTTTAGCTCCTCCTCCGTCTTCTCCACGACGGCGCTGGCCATTGCTCACTGAACGGCGACAATCCTCCCTGCGACTCTCCACCGTCGTCTACCAGAGAGAAAACCCTTTCTGTGCTGAAGGCGAAAGAGAGCAAGACAACAAGTTAATTGAATTTTGCTCCCTGAATTTCAGCATTTTCTGATTTTGTTATAAAGGTCGGCCCGTCCGGCCCATTTCTACCTTAAAAAAGAACGGATATGGACCTGTGCTATAACAGGACTGCTGCGGCCCTTTCAACGGACGTGGATTTGGGGTTTGGCCCGCCAGCAGGCCTGCCCAAACACTCACCCTTATTGTTGGCACGGTATATTATTCCATTTGTCCCAAACAAATTTTGGCCCCGTTGAACATCATCGTTAACGTTTTGAAAAGACCATCCGGCAGTAGCCTTTACCGTTAGCGTTTTTTGAATTAATATACACCGTTAATATTTTACCCAAAACGCTAATGCTAATTAAAAACGTTCTTCCCAAACAACAAAAATAAGATAAACTACGTAGTAATTGTCTTTTTTTTTCTTTCTAATTTTTTGAACCAATCATAGTGTAAAAGAATGTTGAAAAAATATTGAACCATAAAAAGTGATTAATCGGAATTTGTTTAGAAAATAAAGAAGTAATCTTTATATCGGATTACATACATACCCTTTTAAATGGGTTCGAAAAGAGAGAAAATGAGATAATCTTTGTTAAACATCTCAAAATAAAATGTTGGGAGACATTTTTGAAACAAGGAAAGTACATGTCTTTTATATTGAAGCGGCGAGATTTTCATGATTTGCTTAGTGTAACCATTACTCGGTATATTCTATGTTGGAAATAATATAACGAGAACCGTATTTACATCCAAAATTGTCTCGTTACAAGCTAAAAATTGTAATATTGTACTCCGTTTCTGATTATTTATTTGAAGAAAATATTTCACAAACCTACATATTTAAGTGTTACTCCCTTCGTACTTGAGTATTTCTCCGCTTTTGACTTTTTTGTCAAAATTAGTAAACTTTGACTTCAAATTAAATAAAGTAATATAAGATATTGATACACAAATAGTTTTATTAGATTTTTTATATATACTATATTTCAAAATATTATTTTATGTAATTAATATATAATATATATTTTATTTAATTATAGGTCAAAAATTTAAAAAGATTAACTAAAAAATCAAAACTGAATAAATATTCAAGGACGAACGTAGTATAACTCAAAATATTATCATGTAAAAAAGTTTTAAGTTGGGATCACTTTCATTGGCAAATTAAAGCAAAATATTAAAGTTGCGGCCCGAACTTGCTCCGGTGAAAGAGTCATTTTTGTGTTTGTGCAAGTGTATTTTCCTCCTATCTATTTTAAAGAACATTACTCTCTCCAATAATTACCTCTTTATTATTATGATTTCTTGATAATTTTTTTTCAAGTTTTCATTAATTATTTGACAACATATGATATTCTTATTACTACTTATTTTTTTGAACATTTAAAGTAGTATTTAAATTTGCAATGTTTTTTTATTTATAAGAAAAATTTAAAACAATTCTTCAAATCTCTGAGTTTACAAGAATACTTTATAAATCAATTAATTACACTATTACTCCTAAAATTACTCCTTTTTACAAAAACACTCCACTCGCCACCTTACACGATAAAATTGTATAATATTTAAATGAATTTTTAAATTGATGATTTAAAAAAATGTTTTTTAGTTTTAATAAAAAATTTAAATTAGTTATTCATCTTCCAATTAGATATCATTCACGTCTCTCACAATTAGGGCATGCCACTTTCAGTCGCCTAGTCTCCGAGGACTCTTTACAAGAGAGCTTTTATATATTCTTCGAGTCAAAATATAAGTTCTATATGCATTTTGCATATTTTATGTTTTTTGAGTCAAAATATAAGTTCTATATGCACTTTGCACCATATGCATTATACTACTCCCAAATACTAGTAGAACATATACGAAATTTGTTTCATTTCATCAAAAATAACAAGCACATGCCATGTAATGTCTCTTGTTTTAGTAGAGAGCCTAAATCCCACACAACATAGTCACATAAACAAGAAATTATTCTAGGCATATACTTTTTTTCAATTTTTGCACATAATTCCCTTCCTCTACTGTGTGTCATACAAATGGCATTGCACATACCCTTCAATGTGTAATGTGAGGGGCATGTCACACGATTGAAGGGCACTGACCTTCATCTTGTGTGACTATGTTATGTGGAATTCACTTCTAGGACATTTCCCATCTTCAGAGGAGAACAGGGGCAAGTAAGAAAAAACAGAACACACAAACCAAAACCCAAATTATCAACAATATAAAAAACTGCAATAGCATTGAAATATTTTTGGGTCAGGAAACAAAAGAAGAAGAAGAAGAAAACCATAATCAGATTTGGAGCCATTGAGAGAGCTTATTTCTTGCAAAACCATATGTCCTCCCTATCATTCATTCTTACCATGCTTCCTATATTCTACTAAGGTTCCTATCGTTTCCTCTGGTCCAGAGCCTAATGTCATGAGGCAGCAAAAATAGCTGAGAAAGCGTGAACACTCCAAAATTCCTGTAATGTCGGGGTTGAAAATCCACAGTCAAGAATTGAGCGTGAGCAGAAGCCTTGGCTGTACTCCTTGTAAAATTTTCAAGGGCAGTTTTGAGTTCAAGTACTGCAGAAGTTAAAACAGGAAAAACATTCAGTATTTAGAAAGAATAATAATATATTATCATCATCATCGGCATTTCTACCGCAACACGTAAAGGGAGATCGAATATCGACTGGTTTTACACGTCTCTTTTTTTTTACGAGTTACCCAACAAGATCCACATTTCATATCCTGCTACGAAAAGGTTGGTTGGGTTAGTCTTATTCTACAGGCATTAAGAGCAATATCCCATAAAGAAATTTATCAACCAATGCCTCTAAGATTAGCATTGCCAAATATACCAAAGGGGTACACTTAGAACTTACAAAACACTATGGAAAGAAAATAAACAGGGAAAATGAAGTACATAGGGATAATCATGATGAAAGAAAATTTGGTAGAGAATAAAACATAGGCTCAAACATAATAGAACTGTTTTGATATTTATTCATAACTCATTTTTATTCATTTCTATTATACACTCCCTCCTTCCCAGTTTGAAGTCCACGATATCTGCACACAAAGTTCAAAAACAATGTTCAAAATGGTGGTTAAAATTGATTTGAGAGAGAAAACTAATGATAGCCCCACATTCATTGCCAAAAAAGAAAATGGGTTTTTTAACTTGGAAAGGACCAAAACAGAATGGTGTTGTCTATTTTGAGACGGAGGGAGCAGAGACTAAATTCCAAATGTATGTAACAATAATTTATAGATGTTAACTATATTTCATAAGTAAAAAAAAATTGGTTGGCATTTGTTTCCATTTCCATAACAATATAACATTCTCCCAGATCCAAACACACTCATAAGAAATAATGGCTAACCTTTGTTACATCTCTGTAGAATGTGCTGATCTCCTCTTCAGTGAGGCCTCCCTCATCAGCATTTTCCTCCCACCCCAATGAGCGTAAAAAAGCAGCCTCTTCCTCTTCTGAACACAAAAGTGCATCTGGACTGGGATGAGTCTTGCCATTGCTGATGAGCTCTTTATTGTCATCAACGGCATCATTTTTGTCAGATTCACCATCTTGACCCTGAGTCACATATTGTGCAGTTGAGGTGTCTGGTGCAACAACTGTGTCAGACGATGCACAAGAGTCCCCCATGGATTTCTTCCTCATAAGATTAAAGAAATCGTTTCGGCTCCGAGCTTGAGATGACAGTTTCTTCTCAAACTTACTCTCAGCAGCAGTGGGCGACACTGGGTTAGAGGATGATCTCTGCATTGTTGTTGCATTCTTCATATCTTGGATTGGATCTGAAACATTATTCAAAAGAGAAGAAACTCCATTCCTCTCTCGAGTTGGCTTGAGGACAAGAAGCTTTCTAGACGTCTTTAAAGAATCGGAGATAACCAAGCCTTCAGTGCGCACAGAGAGATGAGATGATGACGGTGGATGATTCTGCTGACGGAGCTCTGGAACCTTGGACTTGATCCTATCTGATGGTGCCTGAAATTAAGAATAAAATCATTGTACATTTTAGAATACTTGATAACATATGTATTCTGAACTCAAAAAAGACAGATATTGACGATACCTCTCCCAAGACTTAAAACGGTCATGCTACATCCAAAAAGAGCTTTTTATTTATAGAAATGTTTCCACTTACCGTGCTTCTTACTGATATTTTTAAATTTGTTTGTTGCACAAAATTCAGCATCTTTACTTCACTGGACTTTGAGCTTTTTTTTCAAAATTAACCGTAAGATTCAACATAAACTAATTAGTTTTTGTTGAACTAGTGTATTTTTGGAGGGCAAAAGTAAATTTTAAAACAAAACATCTCTTTTGGGACGAAATTAGCAAGTAATAAAGGTAAAGGATAAGCCCACAACATTAAACATGCCAACTGTTAAGGTGCTGATAGTGTGAATGAACATGCCAACTGTTAAGGTGAAGGTTGTGACATAAGAACCATCTAGCATAAAATGACTTGTCTTTTGCAATGCCATTGATCCCAACTAGCTGGGTTAAGGTGCTGATAATGTGAATGATATACATTAAACAATGTTCAAGCATACTGTGATCCCCCCCCCACACACACACAATTAGTGTTTATGGTAGCTGACGTTATCATGCTGTCTAATCATTAAGAGTCACTTTAGTACTTTACTGCCTCACTCACAAACTCGTGTTGATGAAAGTTGAGGCTTGAAGCTATCATATTGCTATTTTATCACTCTCACGGAGGCATTAGCAGAAAACCAGAAATAGTAGTATAATATGATAGTCAAATGAAACTAACAAGGGTCACCATAGAGTGGTTTTAATGGCAGACCGATGGAGAAATCCAAACTCTATAAAGCATGGGTTCTACAGCTGTAGCATAGACTACATTAGTTATGTGCAAATATATTTGGGGGTGAGTGTAGTTCTAAAATAAATGAGATGTTGGAGTGTGAAGCTGCGAATTCTAGGACTAGTTAGATTCCATTAATTCCAATATAAGGTCCGAGCAATATTCTGGATGAATTGCATGGCCGAAAAATTGAATGCTTCAAAGAACAATTGAAGTATAATAAACCATGATTATCAAATCATACTCTTCTTCATAGTTGTATTTGCTCGTATCATTTTTTTCTTTGGGGGGGGAGGGGGAGGGCTGAGGTGGTGCACAGGCCACCAACACACTGTTCAACACTTCAACAGTCATGAGAAACCTACCTAAGAAAGTTCAACTTTTTCCCCGACAACTAACCCTCAAAGATCTCTATAAGCAGTCCACATACTCTCTATTTTCTAACACCATGTCAGTATATGATACTAGGCGAACAAGCCATATGAACTATGTGTAGGTAATATAGAGATTAAAAATTTCAGCAGATGTGTGACGATTGAATTTTGAAAGACATACTCTAGTAGTCTAATGTTCTAATATTATAGTTATAACTAGCCAACACTATGTAGAGTTTAGTAGGTTACAACAAGACCATAGCAAACCAGTCACATTATTTGAACATTAAAAGAAATTGAGAAAGAAGAGTCAAAGGTCAACGAGTGATTAAGAAACAAAGTTATCTAGTTATCTGTAGTTGCAAACAGACAGTAGCAAAACATACTATGGCTTTAGGTGCAGAAGGAGTAACAGGAATTAATATCCTAGACTGCTTAATAGCTAGGTCTTCAAACCTCTGGTTTCCATTTGACACCTGCCATCGAGCAAACTCACTACATAAGCACAAGAACATTCAACATGATTATGAGAGAGACTGCAAGGACAAAGCAAATGTACCCATACCTGAGTAGTCTGAACACGTGGACTTTTTGCCACTGCTTCAGCCATATTAAGACCAGCACCATTTGGTGTGCTCATTGTTGATGAAAGGGTAAAATGTGTAGCAACTTGAACAGATGAGGAGACTGACCCACCATTGGGCACATCACTAACAGCTTTTGAAGGAATTTCTGCTAAAAGTGATGTCCATTTATCACCATTCTTAACATTACTCACTCCGGGAGAGCAAGCTCTTCCAATTCCGGAACCATGAGACACAAAACCTCTTTCAGGTTCATATTTATCAGGAAGAAGGCCATCAGAATAGCTTTTGTTGTTATTTTCACCACTGCATGAATTCTTAAACCACTTCTCATTGTGACTTTGGGAAGTTATTGCCTGAGAAGGCCTAATAAAGGCATCCTTCTGAGCTCTATTCTCTAAATTTTTCTTTGGCTTGTCAGAGTTGTCAAACTTATCTATATACCTGTCCCTAGAACGACGGTTTCTTCCAAAATTGCTATAAGACTGAGGGTGATCAGAACTGCTTCTATTTGAGGTCCGGTAGGAATGGGATGTGGTAGCATGATTATTGCCAATTGGTCTCCCTAAACTGTTCTCGGTACCATTTTTTGATGAGGTCTTACTTTTGGTGAACTTTGATCCTTCAATAAAACCTACAAAAGCAGGGAGGGCATTGTAAGGAATATAGCCAAAACCCAGTGAACAGTATATATTTATATAGAAACAAAATCAACTAACTGCAAGCAATCATTTACCTGATTGCAATGGAGAAGTAGAAGCACTGGATGGTTTATTCCCGACGCTTTTCAACCACTCTGGTGCTAATTTAGGCTCACCCTTTTCCATGACCAACCCCAGGAGGTGATCACGGCCGCACAAAAGACATTGAACGGATGGACAAAATCACCAACTAGTGATTTGGAGAACAGATGCTAGCCACTATCAAACTTGAAGAAGATAACTCCAAATTCCCAACACTTGATTGACCATTGGTGGCAAAGACTAATCCAAGTACCAATACTACTACTATGGACACAATCCTTATCTATGCCAAGTTCAATAAACGATGATTGCTTCAGCAATGTCAAACAAACTCTTCACTCACTCGCACATCCCTATTATAATAACAGACCGATTGTCAATCCAAAGAAAAGTGAAATATCCAATTACCAATTCAATAGACAGAGAAATTAGAAAACCCTAGGTCGATTAACAATCAAAGGAATACTAACAATCAAATGAATACTAACCCTTCTTGACCGGATAGCAAACAACACCCGCGATACAACCCGACCTCCAAGAGCCACCAATCGTACAGCCAATCTATTCGAAAAAGATTGCAATCCGAATCGAACCCAGACCTTCGCACAGGCAAACCTGGCCGTTCGATTCCCGTTTCCGCGAATTACGAACGATTCAACTGCAACGCTTTTTTCCCAAGGGAGGAGAAAAGGAAAGGGGAAAATCCCCAGGAATTGAGACAGTTGGAGGATTTCAAGGAAGTGTGTGCTCGTATGTGTGATGCAGAGTCCAATCGCAGAAAGCAGCGAGACCGATAGAGCCGAGGAGAGCAAAAACACGCCGGTTTCGATTGCGCCGTGTTGAAAGAAAAGATGGGAGATTTATAGTCTGTGTGTGTTGTTGTGTGTGCGACTGCAGGAGAGACCGAAAGAGGAGAGGAGAGAAATCAGAAATTAGAGAGTATAAGCCTTGTTTGGATATTGGAAATTGGCTGTTGGCTGTTTATGTTAGCTGATTTGAATTGGTTGTTTACTCCCTCCATCCTAAAACTTTCTTTCTAGAGCACTATTCCAACTTCACGGGAATTTATATTTATTTGTGTTTTTCATGGCCTACATTATAAAATAACATATTCTTGTCACAACTTTAAATTAAAAAAATTAAATAAAAAATTACTCGAGACAAGCATCACAATCTGAAGTATCAAATACTTTTTGAGACGACATGAGCATTAAAAGTGACAAAAAATCAGACAAGCTCTCGACTTTTTACTAATGAGATCTTCTCGCCATCAAACTAGAAGTAATATTATTACGGATATTTCTCATTTCCTGACTTCTTATCACCATCTCATTATTTGTAACTTGGTTTTCAACATCTTCAAATACATCTACGGGTACAAAATCAGGGTCATCATCAACCAATTGAAAAGCCGGGTCACCAATTGTGCTCATTCGAATATAGTTGTGCAAAGCAAAACACGAACAAATAGTCTTGTTTTGATCCATTAATGAATATCTTGGCATTATTTGCAATATCTTCCATCTAGCTTTAAGAACACCAAAAACTCTCTCAATGCAACTTCTTAATGATGAATGCGCTTTATTAAAAACTTTTTGACTTCCTCTTGGATTTGCACCACGAAACTCAGATTGATGGTACCTTATTTTTGGGTATGGAGTTAAATATCCAACTCTTTCAAGGTATCCTTTATCCACCAAATAATACTTACCTAAAATTGCATACAATTCAAAAGTGTTGATTTAATTTTTAAATATAACATTATAAAAAAATTTATAATTATTACCTTGAGGTGGATGTGGAAAATTGAGACTTGCATTGTTAATAGTGTCTAGGAAAATCCGGGAGTCGTGTGCTGATCCCTCCCAACCGCTTAAAACGTATGTGAATAACATATCAAAGTCACACACTGCTAATACATTTGTAGTTGGTATTCTCTTTCTTCCTCTATAACGTAATTGCTCTTCTTCAAGAATAGTTATTGCGATGTGAGTACCATCAATAGCTCCAATACAATCCTATTGAATACATAAAATGGATATTGTTAGTAGTATAAATAGTCGCATTTATAATATAATGTTGTTATACCTTGAAATGTGGCATATATCTATCATCATTGGCAATTTGTGGTGGAATACTCTTGAACTCGAGGTCTTTAGGTTGAATTAGATATCTTGAAAATCAATCCATTGCTTTCAAAACTTCTTTGAAAATTCTACTCACAGTTTCTCCAGAATGTTGAAAACGCTCTTATGTATCTCTATTAGATGCACCCTTGCTCAATACAAATACAAACAAAGCAACTTACTCCAAAACGGATATCACATTTGATGATTTTAAGCCATACTTCACCTCTAATCGTTGAAATAACTCACAAAATGTAAGTTGGTTCATTCTCAATGCATTGAAACATCGTTTTTCATGACCACTCAATAACTCATTTACCCATCGTTCACCTGTTAAATATGAAGTCATACATCGCTCTCTAGGTATATGATACACACAAACCCAACTCATGTAACCCGCTACACAAGAGATCATATCACTGAATTCATCCTCCTCTTTTAAATACATTAACAATAAGAGAAGTGTGGTTTTCATTTTTGTAGTGTCCATACCTACACAAAAAGGTACTCATTAAGTGAACAACATAATTTACATTGTACTTTATGTATAATAACTAAGTTTAAGAATAGTAATATTACCAACAAAAAAAGAAATAACATGACAAACTTAAAAGCATGGATTTAAAGCATTTTAGTTCTATAAAATAAGTAAAAACATAACATAACTTCAATTGAGGCAAGAATTTTAAAAAAAATTAAATAAATAAAAAGTACATAAAAATAAATGGTGGAGAAGTGGGTGGTGGACAAATGGGGTACACCTTGCTCTATTTCTAGGGGCTAGAGTATGCAAATCGGTCGATCAGATTGGATTGAGAACTGTATGTTATGACTCAGTATCATCGGGTTTCAACTAACCCAACGGATTATGATTTCAGGATTTGAAATTTTTAAATTCATATTAACACTTACATTTTGCATTGAATAAATTTGAGTAGATTCAATAATTGGTCCTTTATAAGAGGGGTGGTTTCCATATTTAGTCCTCTGTTATCAAATATTACCCACATAGTCCTTTTTAAGGGCGCCTTTTCACAAATGGTCCCTTTTTTATTTTCTGTCATGTTGGTGTTAATTTAAAGACTAAAAGTATAATTTGACATCAACATTATGTCTAATGACGTGTTCTGATATTGGTTAAGCGGATAACACAAAAATAATGACTGTGATTGTGGGCTAGGATTCCAACGAAAGACCACATTTGTAGATTATGGTTGTAGTAGAAAGCGACTATAATTCACAAACGACGCAAACAGAACAATCTTTGGAATTGTGTATGACAAAAAAGATATATTATCATTGTGAAATTACACTTTAAGCCCTCAAATTAACACCAACATGATAGAAAATAAAACAAAAATGACTATTTGTGGAAAGATACCCATAAAAGAAGGACCACTAAGACAATATTTGATAATAGAGGACTAAATAGGGAAATCCCCTGTTATAAAGGATCAATTATTAAATTTACTCAATAAATTTAAACTACTAAAACGTATGTATTAAATCTTTAGGTTTTTTATTTTAAATTCAAAAGTAAATTTTAGGTGTATAAATCAATGTAAAGAATTTATTAATTGCATAAATTTTGAAAAAGAGTAAGAAAAATATGCAATATCATTAAAATTGGTCCGAAAATATAAAATTACACACTAAAAAAATTAGTATGAAAAAAATACTCCGTAATTATAACTTTACTTTTATAATAGGAAAAATTACCCAAAATAATCCCAACTTTACCCGGTCTTTCAAAAATAATCCCACCTTTCACTGTGATGCATAATAATCCCAACTTTACTGAAATTTGCCAGTTTTGGGTCGCCGTTAAGTTTCTAACGGAGGGTTAACGGAAATGCCCATTTTAGGCAACAAAATGAAAGTTGGGATTATTTTTGATGAATTTTTTAAATTACTTTATGGGTATCTTTCCATAAATAGTCTTTTTTTTTATCTTCAATCATGTTTGTGTTTATTTGAGGGCTAAAAGTGTAATTTCACAATGATAATATATTTTTTTTGTCATACACAATTCCAAAGGCTGCTCCGTTTGCATCGTTTGTGAATTACAGTCGCTTTCTATTACAACCATAGTCTACAAATATGACCTTTCGTCTGAATTTTAGCCTACAATCATAGTCATTATTTTTGTGTTATTCGCTTAACCAATATCAGAACAAGTCACTAGACATAATGTTGATGTCAAATTATGCTTTTAACCTTTAAAGTAACACCAACATGGCAGAAGATCAAAAAAGGACCATTTGTGGAAATATTTGTCATTACTGAACATTATTAAGTGATATTTAGGGAATAAAACAATTTAAGTACTATTTATGGAAATGACTTAAATTTTAGTACTATTTAGTGCAAATATTTTATTATCAAGTATCTTTTTTTTAGAGAAATCAACATAAAAAAAACTATATTAGAGCTCAAGATCGAAAGGAAACCATCAAAATTGGCCCAAGTCCATATCAAGAAAACTAGCCCACTTGTCTCAAGTTCAACAGAGCATTGAAGTGGCGACCACATGTTCAAAATTAGAGGTAGTCCAGCATTCCTCTTCCACAATAATTTCTCAAATAAAAGTGCAATAAAAATCTTTTAATATACAAAGTCAAAGGAAAATTATGAATAGTATAATTTCGCGGTTAATATTTTTGGTGAAAACGCTTGGTCATTTGGATATGAGCGGGTTGGCCGTGAAAACATTATGGCTTTTGCATTGAGTTGTGTGTTTAGGCTTTCTTTGGGAAAATTAAAGAGTCCACTATATAGGTAGACGTGATATTAATTATTTTGCATGAGAGAATGTGTGATGCCGGCTAGGCTTGGATATTGTAGATGTAACATTTTGCTTTATAAATCAAAATGACGGCTAGTTATGTCATTGGGTTGGATGGGCATCCAACTTTATGGGGTAACGTGAGGATATAAGGACTTTTTCACGAAGGTATGTCTATTCGTGGCTAAGCTTTGCTTTTTACAACTGGAACCAATAAATGCCTTAATAGGCCGCCACATTAAATCACAAGTGGTGGGGCAAAAGGTCTAAATATACACCTATTTTGAGGCATGAGCATGATTAATTATATCCTGTAAAAATATATGCAAACAAAACTTATCCAAAATACTTATCTTCTACATGAGTGCATTAAAACATAAATATTCATAATTATTTTTATATACTAAATAGTTAGCATTTACTTAAGAATTCACGAGTCTAACATTTTATCTTTACTAGTATCACACTCGTGCGTTGCACGTGTCATATTTACGTTACTAAATTAAGTATTTTTCAATGGCACGGATTTAAAAATGCACTCGAAAGAAACTAATTATGAAAATCTTTGCAAATGATCTTATTTATAATATGAAAACTTTTTTGCTTATTCTATTTCATTCTTTCAAAATTTTTATTATTAAAATTACAATGTAATATTTTCAGCCAACAAATTAATTACACGGTTGGTGTTACTTATCATTTTCAGTCGCAGGTTTGCATTTTCTTCATGTTCGTCAAGTGCTTCGAGAGAGCAGGAGATATGTTCTCTGGCGTCGTTTTCGTCAGGCTCGGTTTTTGGAAGAATTGCATCATCTACATTCCTTTTTTAACTTAAAATTTTAATTATCAACGTATATTTATGATTCTTTCTCACCAAACCCATGTATAAGAAAAACACTTCATTTAAAATCTTTATATTTATATATACAAAGCTAAAGGGGTAAAATGAACAATGTCATTTTCCTGCCCAAAGCAACAGTAAACAAAATGGTGGCCTCAGTTACATGGAGCGTGTTAGAGAAGCCAAGCTGGTCGCTAGTGGAACATTGAAGAACTTTATTTTAATGTATTAAATATTCCATTTATTATTCAAAGTATTGAAGTTGTTAGAATATTGTTTGAGAAGCTTCCGCAACGTCGAATTTATTTTACTCCGATTGATCTATGATTTGTTTCTAAATAAATATGTGTTGATGTTTTTTTATTATTTTTAAAATATTGTGCACGAAAATATCAAATGGTTCACCAATCCACGTGTCCACATCAGCCCACGTTCTCAGACGCCGCGAGGTTACTTCATCTTGTCCAGTAGCGATTTGTCTTATTCCCTTGTCATCTTGTGCTGATGATACCTCCTTTGGTGCGTAGCGCCCAGCTGAGGATGTTAGAATATTCTCGCGATCTTTCATTGAAAATTGGCCATTACCGTCAAACCGACTTTAGAGTTATTCGTACAGACACTCTCACACTGTAGTAACCTATCTGGTAAGTTTACCTCTCTTCAGCGTTCTGAATGGGCAGAAGACCCCAAGCTTGGAGTCACGTGTTCTGACCGGTAGGTCTATACTTTGTACTTGTCGACTTTTTCGAACCCGACCGATAGTCTAGTTTTTAGTTCAAATCTAACATTCTGATATGTTTGAATTTGACCGATCAATTTATGTGGACCCGGATTGAGACCGGTCCTGGGTAGAATTATCAATTTTATAAGTCCAATTCTTTATTACTCGTATATTTCTCCATTTTACCATTTACTCCCAATTTTTTCCTAACATTCTAATCTGACTTACAACCAAGAAACTCAAAATAAGCCGAACAACCCTAATCCGGTTCTGTACTAATACTCTTGAAATCCCATTGAAAGATTCTTCCCTCCAAATTCCCAGTATCTCCGATTGCAGAAAAGAGAGCATCAATTGAGCTGCAAATCAATGGGGAGGGACGACGATGAGATGAGGAGCGAGATCGAGGAGAGGTTAGTGAACGAAGAGTACAAGATATGGAAGAAGAACACTCCCTTTCTCTACGATCTGGTCGTCACTCACGCCCTCGAGTGGCCCTCTCTCACCGTCAAATGGCTCCCCGGCCGGGAGGAGCCGCCCGGAAAGGACTATTCCGTTCAGAAGATGATTCTCGGGACCCACACTTCAGAGAATGAGCCGAATTATCTCATGCTCGCCCAGATTCAGCTCCCGCTCGAGGACGCTGAAAATCCTGATCGCCACCAGGAAGATGATCGGCCGGATGTATGCTCGTTTGGCTGTGCCAATGGGACGGTATGGAATAATCTCTTGCTGGATCTTTTTTTTTTCGAGCTGTTTTTGGCTTCTCTTATGCCAGATTTGTTTTTCAGATGCATAAATGCATAATAATTTTTGCTGTATGTATGCTATTTTCTTTTCAACTTTTAAATCCAATTGTCCCAAACTCCATTTTTCAAATTCAATTTTTTCAGAGTCTAAGCTTCATTTTCTAACCTCAAAACTCAATTCTCCAAAACTCTTGATTTTGGTTTACACTCCAGCCTCAAGACGACCAGACTTCATACTTTAAGCTCGTTAAAATTAAGTTGAAAAATAAATGGACCTTCAAAACCACATTCAAGTTACATTTTGTAATCCGTTTCTGCTTTCAAATTGACATATTTTAATGTGCTTTTGATTTCCACGTCTCCTATAATTGCATGAATGTAATCATAAATCCACAATCCCGTCTTCAACTATACCGTCATCCATCACTTCATTCTATAATAAGGCTTGTATGATATCATTAATCAGCTTGTTCAGCTTGTTGGTAGATTAAGTAGTCTTTTCACTTATATGGCTTAAATTGATTTTACCAATCACTTTTCCTTTCTGAAACTCAGTAGAATTAGACACCTTAGCTAATTAACCATTGCCAAACCAACTCTAAGCCTCGCTTTTGCAGGTAAAAATAATTCAGCAAATAAATCATGATGGAGAAGTTAACCGAGCACGTTACATGCCTCAAAATCCATTTATTATTTCCACCAAGACAGTCAGTGCTGAAGTTTATGTCTTTGATTATAGCAAGCATCCATCTAAACCCCCTTTTGATGGTGCATGCAACCCTGAATTGAGGTTAAAGGGCCACAACACTGAAGGATACGGTCTGTCCTGGAGTCAGTTCAAGCAAGGTCATTTGTTAAGTGGCTCAGATGATGCCCAAATTTGTTTGTGGGATATTAGTGCCACTCCAAAAAATAAGACCCTTGATGCCATGCAGATCTTTAAGGTATACAGAGGCATTAAATGGTATAAACAAACTGAATTAGAAATTTAGAACACAAAATATATGACTCTTTCCTCTAAGTATCATCTCTTATTTTCTAATCAGTGCCTTCCTTTTTATGTCGCAAAAGGTTCATGATGGGGTTGTAGAGGACGTAGCTTGGCATTTGAGGCATGAATATTTATTTGGTTCAGTTGGAGATGATCAGTATTTACACATATGGGATTTGCGCACACCTTCAGTAACCAAGCCTATACATTCTGTAGTTGCTCATAATGGAGAGGTGAGTACTGACTAATCAAATGGAGCCTGCATATTTGTGTACAGATGATTCTTTCCATTGAGTAGAGGTAAAGTCTGCATACATCTTGCTTGAGACCATACTTTTGAGTGGGATATACTGGGTTTGTTTGGTTTTGCTTTAGTGTACTATTTTATCTCTGTATGATTATGTATATTTATATCCATGTATATATTTATTGATTTATTTATGTGTCTTAGGTTAACTGCTTAGCATTCAATCCGTTTAATGAATGGGTTGTAGCAACCGGATCAACTGATAAGACCGTCAAGTTATTTGACCTTCGCAAGATCACTTCTCCTCTACATACTCTTGGAAGCCATACGTAAGAGGCATTTCTATTAAGAGGCTGTGTTTGGCTCAAGGGGAGGGAAGGGAAGAGAAATGAGAGGAAAGAGGAGAGTGAAAGATTTTAATGTTACCGTGTTTGGTTTGTTTGAATTGAGTGGAGGGAAAGTAGGCAAAGGGTTATATGAAGTATAAAAGTGTGTTTGGCTAGATGGGGTTGGGGGAGGGGAAGAAATATTATAGCTTCCCTACTCTCCACATGTTGTGAACCAGATGAGAGTAGGGCAGCGTTATCCCTCTCCCCCTCTTGAACCAAGCACTGTAAATTTCTACTCTTCCCTCTTTGAATTGCTCCATTGATCATTTTTTTCCTGCTCATTAGAAATCAGTTAATTAATTTCTAAATCTTGTACAGGGAGGATGTTTTTCAGGTAGGGTGGAATCCAAAGAATGAGACTGTCTTAGCGTCTTGTTGCCTTGGCCGAAGAGTCATGATTTGGGACCTTAGCAGGTATCATTTGGATTAATAAAGATTGCAGCACATTTATTTTTTCATGATTACATTATTTACATATTCTGTTCTGAGCCTTTTCAATAAGTGGTTACATTTTTTTTTATCTAGGACAGAAAATGGCCAATAAGTTGATTTTTGCAATATCTTGATAACCAGAATCTTCCCTGAAATAAAAGAAAGTGTTTGAAATGTTATCAAATACTCCGTAGTATATATTAAAATATAGACTAATCGCTTAAAACTCTGCTCCCTCAACCTACCCTCCAAGCAAAAGCATCAGTTTGAATGTAGAGTTTCAGAGGGGAATGCTTTGGAGGTCGTGGTCTATACCTTAACAAATAGAATGTTTCTAGCTAGGGCAATTCAAATGTCGTATGATTATGTTACTCCCCCAATTTTTATACAATTATAAATCTAGATCAAGACATAGACTTAGGCACTTAGCCACACAAAACACTCCTACCTGAAAGTCTCCATCCAAACCGACCGTCAAGTTCTTCAACCTTCACTATTGCAGATACCATCACCATGCAAATGTTTGCATTATGGATGTTTGCTCAACTGCGAATCTAGATGCGAGTGTGCCTATGAACTATATAGAAATGATTGTTTGCTTATTTTTATCAAAAAGTTGCTTGGAGAAAAAAGCATGACTAATAAATGGCTCTACTTGGGAATGGAGTTGCCGTAGTTCATAAAAGGTGTGTCACAAGGGAGAGACTCAGTTTAACTGATCCAAAACATAAAATATACGGAGTAGTTTGTTCAGTGTAAATACATTTCATTTTTCTATCACAGTATGATCTGGAGTTCAAATGTGGTTTATGTATAGGCTTGTGCTCCTTTTGTGGAATATTGATCCGGGCTTGTTTGGTAGGGCTTTCAAATTTGGCCACCTATCATCTGCCTAGTCAGCTGTATTTCCTACCAAAAACAGATTATTAATACAATGGCCGAATCAGCTAATATGATGCCAGTAAAAAAATAGCTCAAAAGTTATTTCTGTTTCTGTTCGATTGATGATGATAAATGACCCTTCTACCCTCATATATCAGTTATTTCATAAATTTATTTTAAAAAATAGACTTCAATATTTTGTGAATAGTTCATAGTTGTTGCCCTCTATCAGTCATCCATATACTGGTATTTGCTAACCCTGTCCAGGATTGATGAGCAACAAACGAAAGAAGAAGCCGAAGAGGGGCCACCAGAGTTGCTCTTTGTTCATGGCGGCCATACCAGTAAAATATCCGACTTCTCATGGAATCCGTGTGAAGATTGGGTCATTGCCAGTGTTGCAGAGGACAACATTCTTCAAATCTGGCAAATGGCTGAGAACATATACCAAGAAGACGATGATCTACCGGTAGATGCTGCTGCTACCTAGCTAGATTCATCGCAAGGTATTGTATTTGCCCACTGATCCATTTGCATTTCTATGTGTGACATTCTATTGTGTATAATGAATGTTTCATGTGAAAAACAAATGAAGTTAAGGCTTGCAGGTTGTTTGATCATCATTCTTGGAAACAAAACAATCTTGTTTTTCGTCAAGATAACCAAAACAAGCACGAAACTAATGATTCCAATGGGTCGCGAAAAAAGTAGTAATAATATTGAAATATTATACTTCGTACTACCTCCGTCCCATTTTATAACGCCTGTTTCGGTTTACGATGTTTGACTGAAATTATTTTCAAACCATTTTATATGACAAATGGTATAAAATTAAAAAATAAAAATTACATATTAAAAAACTACATCAAAAGATCTACAAAACTAGTAGTGACAATAATATTTTATTTTATCAAATTGCTAACGAAAATAGAGAAAGAAAGTGAATGAAGTTTGACCCTGTAAATAGTAAACGGGCATTATAATTTGGGACGGAGGTAGTAGTATTTACGACTTTACGCAACACGCCCCGTCGTGGAGTCTTGTCTCCATTTCTCTCTGGCAGCTATGGTGGACGTGGCCGTCGGGAAGTCAGGATATACACTAACCAGCCTTAGTGTCTCTTGTGGAAGGTGACATTTTCAAGTTAATCCGGATGAATTTAATTATCAATTACTCTCAATTTGAATTGCATATTAATATAATAAAATTAAATCTTGAAAGTTCAAGTTAAGGTAAATCTAATGAAATCACTTTTATTCTTATAAGCGTTATAATTTTTTTTATTTAATTGAGGCTCAAAGTTTGTCCAGTGTAACTCAAAAAAGTTAAACTGAACAAGTAATTCGTCCAGTAACTGCATTGATATTTAAACAAAAAATATGACCATTTTGTAAGTCGTTTGGCTTCATTTTTCCACAAATACTTCGTACTAAATCAATTCACATTTTTAAACTACACAACAAAAAGTACCCGCGCAACACAAATGAATTCACTATGTTTAGTTCAAAAATGGGGATTGGTTAACGGGAACCAAACATGACCTAAAACTAACAGAGTATTTTTTTTTTCTTTGTTCTACTTCGTATTAGGAAGGAAAAAAAGTAAGAAAAATAGTTGTAGGAAACGAAATGGAGGGAGAAATTGAACTAAGATGAAAAGAAAAAAAAACTTTTCTTTAATTTTGGTAAACACAAAGCTAGGAAAATTTGTTTTCTTTTTCTAATTGTTTCTCCCTCCATCCGGAAAATAACTATCATTTGACTTTCTGTAGTTAACGATTAAAAATCTTTGACTATATGTATCATATGAAAAAATGTATCGTGCTGTAATATTAATATAATTAGTTTCTTTGTCCCAAATTAAATGGTTTCTATATTGTTCACACGATAAAATCGTATTCATTTTGTTATATCTATTTTGATTTGTAAATTGATACAATAATATATTCATGTCATCGTCTATTTTGGAAAGCTCGTAATATAGTTTTTAAATATGTAAATTTTATATTTTAATTCCATACTAATTGTCTTATAAATTGAATGGAAAATAAATCTAGTCAAATATCGTAAATCGAAACACGCATATAAAATGGTATGGATGGTATACTTTGTTGTTTGAAGGAGTTCATCAATGATTTTAATTATTTTCACACCAAATACAAGTTAAAAACAAGTGAAAATTGTCAAAATAAAATACACGTACTCTAAGAAGTCCATGGCATTGAATAATAGTAGTCCGAAATAATGTAAGGACATGAACTCACGAAAGAAAAAAGAAGCATATATACAATGTACCAAACTATATTTCAACAACATAATGAAGATTAAGTTGAGGCGTTGATTAAGATTCCTGACGCCTCAAAGTCTCATACGTTGCTTACTTTGAATAGGGAATTGACTAAAAATTCTTAGGATCAGATCACTTTGGTACACGAAAATGATGGAATTGAAATTCTATGGGACTGAACTGGAATTGTAATTTAATAGAATTGAACTAAATGCAATTGAATTCTTCCATTTCAATTTATTTTTTGCACTACCAATTCTAATTTCACATACTTCTTCCGATTAGAGAAGCGAAATTGATATAATATGCAGGTTATGAAATCGGAAAGAAGTTTGGAACATTCGTCATAATATTACCGTTGTCACTTGGCATGGAAAGGAGGTGAGTTGGGGTGGGTGCAACCGTGCAAGGGGGTAAGGGTAAGAAACATCAATTTTTTGAACGGTTACACGATTCACCGTAGATATTCCAAAAAGACAGTAGCAGTGTAGTGTCATCGTAAGCTAGTGTCAACAGAAACTAACCACAAATGCAGATTTGCATATAATAAGAACTTGACATTTTTATACAAAATAAAGAATAGTTTAACGCGGACTAATAATACATTTTTCATGTACTCAGTATCAAAATAAGACTTTCTATATTTTATTGCAAAATAAAACATATAATACATATAATGTTAAAACCTAATGCTAAAAAATACTTCAAAATTTTCAACCTAATGCTAAAAAGTGTAGTACTTTAAAATTTCAATCCACGCTCATAATAGGAGTATTTCAATACAAGGGGTGGGCATAGTTCTGGTAACCATTTTACAATACCATTTTGTATGGTTGGTTGACTTGGTTCTAATATCTGATTTTACTTTTTTGGTAAAATATTACTCAAAGTACACATTAGGCTTCATACTATTTTTGTTAGAAAATATTGTGAATAATCATCAAACAAATTAGAACTATTTTTTTTTTAAAAATCAACCGGTAACGGTTTTGATTCCCAAAACGGAAAAGCGAATCGAAACTCTTTCTCGGACCGTACCATGTTATCCCGACTATTTAGCAATTTCGGTCCGATCCTAATAACGCCGGTTCCAGTTCTGGTACCAATGTATTTTATCCAAGGACCATGCTAGGGTGCCACCACATGGGTGCTACCATGGGTGCACCCATGTTTCGCACAGACAAACACAGTCGATAATTGTCTGTGCGACACAGACAATTATCGTCTGTGTTTGTCTGTGCGAAGCATGGGTGCACCCATGTGGTGACACCCTAACATTTTCCTTCATCCAATGCCCACCCCCAAAATTCGCGAGTGAATCCCACGCAGGGCAATTCAATGGAGAAAACCGGGCGGAGAATCCGATAGGAAAAAGAGAACAAGTGGCAGAAAAACTGTCTTCAAACATTTTGCTTCATATTCGGTCCGACCCATTCCCTTTTCTTTTCTTCTCCCCAAATTCAAATGAAATTCTTCTTTTAATTTTCTCGCCCAAATTTTAGAGAAAATCTCCCCGCGCGCGCTCTTCCTCTACTCTCCACATGATCAAACCCTAGCTCTGCATCTTCCGTTCATTCATCGCCGATCAATTCTCCGGTACGAACCTTCCATCTCCTCCTTTCATTGATCATCTCGATTATTTTATTTTATTGTTATTTTATTGTTATTTTATTATTATTATTATTGAGTTGATTTTGTGGAAAAGAACATGGATAGAGTTTTATGTCTTGATCTTATAAAAAATTATAAAAATAAACAAAAAATGGCTATTATATGTGAGTTGATTGAATAATTTATTAAAATTATTTTGGTAACTGTATCTTCACGTGGTTGTTCCTCTGTGGCACGTTGTTGCTTAGTGGGGTATGGTTGCATTATTCTGAATCCCACTCGCTAATTCATTTGGTTTGTTTATATAATTATATTTATATCATGTGGTTGTGACTGAATCGCCTGCATTCATATGAAAGCTTGGTTTTTTTTTGAGGGGGTACATCATTGGCTCACAGTTTGATGTTTTTCTTTGCTGCTGGCAGATCTAGATTTGCTTGTGAGTCGTGTTGGTTTTAGACGATAGTTTTGATCTATGTTGTATGGATTTTTCAAATAAGTGTGTTGCTTCCCGTCCCCTAAATGTACCCGTTTTGATAATTCGGGATGTCTTTGCAACCGAAAATGTTTTATAAAATTTAGAAAAGTTGATGTTAATACGTTCCTAATAATGTGCCTCTATAAGTACTCATTAATGTCTCGGTGCAACTTGGGTTTTGATTTCTCAATGTCTAAAGTGGTTTCGAATATGTGAGTTTTGATTGCTTCTTGAGTTCATCCATTAGTGTATCGGTTTAGGAACATTTTAGAAGATAACCATTGACATTATTTATTTGAGTTGTTATGTTTGTTACTGCCTCTATTTCATGACTATTTAATAGGATGTGAGGTAGAAAATTTGTCGGGCAGTGAAATTGACATTTCACTTGGACGAATTTTTCAAAGAGATTTTGGTAAGAATCGTAAGATGATTTTGAGATAATAAAAAAATGGGTAGCACAAAGATGATCTTGCTGATTCTTGGGACAAAGGAAGTACTGATTTCTTTAATGTGCTGCTGATTTGTTGTGGTTCAATATGCCCAACTGGGTTAGTGAGGAAGTACATATTTTTCATGACCGGAAATCAATCAGCTTCCTCTTGGTAACTTGCATTGTTTATGGCATTATAGTTGCAATTCTTAATACGGATCTTTCCCTCTCACTTCCTCTGCTATATAAATAGTTTTTAGGGAAAATTAGGTCTTTTTCGATACTCTTATACAATTCCTCAGACGTATTTTGTGGCAAGCTTTTGTTTGCCCATAAATTCTAAATCCCACATTTAAGTTAAATTAATATGATTATTTCTGATCAATCAAAGCACAACCTTTTTTTAATAAGTCTAGATGGTCCATGAGCGACAGTAGCTTTCGTTTAAGATTTGACTTTTCTCTTTCAATCTCATGAAATATTAATGCCACTTTTGCTTTATATAGATTCATTCAATATAGAAAAATGGCAAAGGGAACCAAAGGAGGAAGATGCAGCTCGGCATCAAAATTCAGATCCACCCCATACCCTCTACCTTCAATGAATCACCATCAATCAGAGGACCTGAACCAGATCAAATGTTCCAAACACCACCAGAAGAATGACTGGGAAGATGCAACATGCTCAGTTTGCATGGAATTTCCACACAACGCTGTCCTCCTCCTCTGCTCCTCTTATGACAAAGGTTGCCGCCCTTACATGTGTGGGACCAGCTTCCGCTATTCTAACTGCCTCGAACAGTACCAGAAAGCTCAGGAAAATGTCACAGAACCACTTCCTTCA